ATACATGATTCTGAAGGATGGATTAAAATACCCGGTATTTTGTTTATTAAATAAATAATAAATTATTAAAATTAATAATAATTATCAATCTTTTTTCTTTTTTTTTTGGATCCGGGGCTATAAAAAACACACCCGGGGCTGAAGCCCTGAATGCCGATGTCTAACGGCGCGCCTGGTCTGTAGCATTTATCAGACCGGCCCTCGCGGCCTTGAAACACTACCGGCCCACCGGGAAAACTCCCGACTCTCCCGATTGCCACTCCGCTACTGGTCTCGTTGCGGAAAATCTCCCCTGACTTGTTGGCATTTCACTGTATTGTGCATCAACAAACACTATGGAGCAAGTTAATGGATGGAGACTTCGTGGAGGTTATGAACACTGTGGTCAAGCTGGTCAACTTCATTCGAGCGCGGCCTCTAATGGAATGACGCGCATTAAGTCACGTTTCCGTGCGCGTCTTACAGACTGCAACTTACAGTCGCAACTTCATTGTGCTCTTACTCCTTTTGAGCCAAATTTCACCAAATTGGTCTGCTCCCGACAACATCAGGTGTCCCATTAATGGTAAGTAGAATTATACTCTCTAATAATAATAATAATAATAAATGTAAGTGTAATCATTTAGATACCTTAATGCTCAATATCTGGTTAGTTTGCATTGGTGACACTAAATGTAAATGATATGTGGCCCGTGAAACTTGAACTTAGACATAGTGTGACACGCTGAAAAAAACGATTGACAACCACACTCTGGGCTATAAGAAAACGCTGAACATTTCGACAGCATGTTTCACAGTCTCTAGACACTTCCTCAAATGGGCTTCACAGCTTTATCAGTGTTTTAATCTGTTCTGAGAAGAGCTATTCTCTGAATGTGTTCAGATGCATCCTGCAAAATTTCCTGAAACACATACTCTAGATGTAAACACATCCCCTCCATTTTTTTAAACATTTTGCAGCACAGATGTAGCAAAACAAATAATATATAAAACTTTAACAAACTATATATATCAGGCCTATATACGTATATATATATATATATATATATATATATCCGTGGTTAGTCATGGGTCGTGCATGGCATTAAAAAAAATAAAATGGCATTAAAAAGGCATTTAATTTAATTTGAAGATAACCTGCAGAAACCCTACAAGGACATTTGGAAATCCCACATGGATACATGAAGTTTGTGTGGTTTCTGCGCACTTTTACGTGTTTTATATATCTAGGGATTGTGTCTGAAGAGAAACAACATTGTTTGCATTTGAAAAACATTGTATGCAATCTATTTCAAGTGGCTAACTTGTGTAGTTACCTGGAACGATTGTTGAGGCCTCTCTGCAAACTGAAAGAAAAGAACCAAATAGTAAATAAAAGAAGTAAGAAAGGTCTTGAAACATCTTTATACAGACAGTGCGAGTAGCTATATTATGACGCTTCCACGAGTCGCGAATAAAACTCCTAACGTTCACTTACGTATAAATCAGACAAAAATCAAGTATGCGGCTTGCAATCCTTTGAAAAATGTTGTGTTTTTAAAGTGTGGCTGCTTTTCTTTCGATTTGGCCCGCTTAAATGTCTGATTCCAGGCGGCAATAAAAACAAGCAAGAAGAAAAAAAACAAAAAAAAACGAGTGAGATTGTACAAACGACTACCGCGCCAACCCATACACTATTTCAAATTAATTGTATTTAACAATGCTAACGTTTATCTATAATCAAATTGAAGACGTTAAAAACATAATGTTGCCAGGTAACGTTAAGGCAACTCCTAAAACAGTGCTCTCATGTCGGGAATGGCATATCAAATTAGGCTATCAACAATCGCGTTTCTGTGATTTGGCCTGCTATGAAGTTCAGAAAAATCACGATACTATTAAAAATGAGTAAGTCTTATTACCTGTAGCTGCGGTTTCTTTCGACTGAATCGGGACGGGAGTCGGTTGGCTTCACTGCGAGCTGTACTTGGCCCGAGGCGGTGACAGTTAGCCTGGCAAGAGAAACATCCATGTGATCATTTTTCCGGCTGGCGCAGCAACAGACATTACACAATTTCAATTTAATTTTTATTCAATAATGCTATCCTTCTTTAAATGATGAGTTTATCAAATGTTGCCAAATAAGAACATCTATTGAAATCATGTGCAAATAGGCGCCATAGATTTTTTTTTGGGTAATAAAATGCACACGACACAACACAACACGGTTTAACTATGGAGTTTGACGCTCGTTATCTCTCTATCATTGCACCCTTAAAGTTGAACAAACAGGTTTACGAGTGTAAACTGTGGAAATAAATGAGCAAAGTTACTTTTCTGAAGTAAAATTCCGTTGAAAGTGTGGAATCTCGTAGCTTCCGTTGCTGAGGAAAAAAATCCTAGAGAAATTGCTGTATTCTGATTCACAGAAAAAATATTTTTACTGTAGAATTTACCCGCCATTGAATATTGACCATGATGCTTAGCAGATCTACAGCAATATACTGTATACATGTTCTACAGTAAGCTTTTGCTCATTTTACAGTAATAATGATGTGAAAACGACATAATTTGGTTACAGTGAAAATGGTCCAGAAGTTCAGGGAGGCGAAAGTTAAGTGCTGCTTAATGATATGATATAGTGTGTGTAAATACTTTCTGTTTGACCGAGCTGGAACTGATGTTAATAATTACTTTAGATTACTTTAAAAACAGTTTTATATTTCAGAGGTCATGGATGGTGGATAATTTTTCAGTGAAAAAACAATTTTATCATTAATAAATTCATGATTTTATTTCTAGATTTAAATGGCCTGCACGAAACAGCTAAAATAAAGAAGGGGGACTGACAGGAATGCTCTCGTGTAAACTGTGTTCAGAGCAGATGTGTGTTGAGTCAGTGCGGTTCACAAAACGCATGTAAAGCAACATGTTATCAGATGAGAGGAAGTTGATAACCACAGGAGGAGCTGATGGTGATTAAAGAAAGACGGAGAAGTGTGATCTGTGTCTGTGTCTTGACTAATGTTTGCTTCCACTTAACAGCAAATATGACCTGAATAAATGAAATGGCTTTATTTTAAAAAGCTATATATATGCGCATTAAAAAACAAATACTTGCAGTGAGGACATGCTATTAATCTATCAAATTTAGGTTTAAAAATCTTGGGATTTAAAATGTTGTAAAATAAACTATTTTGCATGTAGCCTATGTAGAGCGAAACTTGGATTACTTAGGCATCAAAATTGAACGTGCCAAAGCCAACAATGGACATACAGTAAACCTTCCTATAAAGACAGAGTTCCTGACAAGTGTGTCCATTGTTGTGCATCTGACTAAGCCTACACCTGATGGGAGTAGGTGTTCTCTGTGTGCGTCTTCTAAGCATCCTTGACAATTATCATCATTACTCTGAGCTACTATGCCAATGGAGACTTCTTCAATGCACTCAGCCCTAAATTTAATGGTCACAATGTATCTCACATAATTCCTGAGGTCCAATGTACCAGAGGAGATATTTGTAGGGCTGAGCAAATATGGCCAGAACTCTTTACTGTCCTAGTACTTCAGAAATCCCTTTAAAGGTAAACATGTGAATTAAACGTGGCACAATGGCCTTCATCATCACAGTATGCTAATGCCTATCTAGTGCAAGGGTTTCATCACTATGCTGATCGAGGACTGTTGGGACAATCCAGTCACAGGATAGTTCTGTCGGGAGAGAAAGAGTCGTTTGCACCTCGACGACACATCTGTACTATTTGCTTCACAGGACATATGCTTCCAACTACATACTGTTTATTTACTAGTGTGCTCTAATATGTAACTATGCCATGTTTGGTCTCATCTGACAGCTTGTAAACTGAACTGAATGGTGGTGAACTTAATAGAGATATTATATTAATGTACTGTAGTACTGCTTACACATAATTCCATACGTTTATATAGCGCTTTTCTCGACACTCAAAGCCCTTTACATAGAAGAGAGAAATCTCCTCAACCACCACCAATGTGGAGCATCTACTTGATGATGCGATGGCAGCCATAGTGCGCCAGAACACCCACCACACATGAAGCCAATTAGTATATACCGTATATATGGGGATGATCAGGAGGCCATGATGGACAGAGGCCACTGGGGCAAATTTGGCCAGGATGCCGGGGTTACACCCCTACTCTTTCCAAAGACATCCGAAGGATTTTTAGTGACCACAGAGAGTCAGGACTTTTTTGCAAGAAAACGACATCTATGAAAAGTTTCAGGCAGACCGCATCATAGCACTGAAACTGCGCTTGTTAGAATCACAAATGATCTACTTCCAGCTTCGGACCAAGGCTGTATATCAATACTAGTTTTACTTGCTCTTAGCGCTGCGTTCGGCACTATAGATCACACAATACTCCTAGATCGACTACAGAACTACACTGGTGTTCAAGGACAAGCATTAAGCTGGTTCAGGTCATACTTATCTGACCGCTACCATTTCGTCTACTTAAATGGAGAAAACTCGATCATAACTTCGGCAAACTATGGAGTGCCGCAGGGATCTGTGTTAGGCCCTTTATTATTCTCAATATATATGCAAACACTTGGTAATATTATAAGGACACATGGAATTAGTTTCCATTGTTATGCTGATGACACTCAATTATATATTTCATCACGGCCAGATGAATACGCTAAACTATCCAAATTGACAGATTGTGTTAAAGATATAAAAGATTGGAGGGCGCGTAATTTTCTTTTATTAAATCAAGACAGAGGTTATACTTATCGGTTCTAAAAACCGTCCACAAAACCTTTCGCAGCACGACTTTAACATATTAGGATGTCCTGTTACTTTATCCACTACAGTAAAAGACCTGGGTGTTATATTAGACTGAAACTTGTCGTTCAAAAATCATATTTCATATGTTACAAGAACAGCCTTTTTCCACCTTAGAAACATTGCTAAGCTGCGTAACATGCTATCTGTTTCTGATGCTGAAAAATTAGTTCACGCATTCATGATGTACAAACTGGTTTGCGTGTGTTGCCCTTTTAAGACGTTGCCCCTTTAAGACATTGCCGCTTTAAGACTCGTTGCCCGTTTAATTGATGACGCAAAGTGTTCCTGTGAAGAAGAAATGCGAGCTGATCCAAGTTGGAGTGTTATATGTGTGCGTGCATCCTATAAAGTGAGTTAATTCTTGTCATTATACACTTAGGAGAAAGTTCATATTGTAATCTTGTGTATAAGTGTTGTTTGTTGAAGCTATTGAAACTAAATTCGAGTGTTCTATGGTGCCTCTCTAACGATCGTTACATGCATGATCATATTCATATCTGCCGTCGAATTATGCGATCGTTGATCATCATACTGCTGTCATATTTTATGTTGAAATAGATTGTTTTCTTTATTTAATATGTTGGTAGTAAATTGCAAGTATAGGGTTGAGTTGATGGCGATTATAGTTAAATGGCCTATTCTGATGCTAATATTGCTAATCGTGGCACTATTGTATTTAACTCTTATTGCAAGTTATATTCCGCACAGATTGTATCATTGTTTATTGTATTGGATTGTTAGATAATTGGATCTGAAGTCTGTATTTACTTATTGTTATTTCTCTTTGTACAGACCACACACAAACATACTCCAGTAAAGATATGGAAAGAAATAACAGTGGTTGACTGAGTTCCTGGGTTCTGATAGGCCCATCCAGGGCGAGTGTTGCTTATCCTTCAGTCCTTAAGAGATAAAGTCAAATTACCAATTCCAAATCCAACAAATGGTCCTTCGAGCCGGAGACACTTCCCTGGATTGAGATGTCAGCCAGTTCTACACCAGTAAACCCATCGGTTCGTCCAAAGCGCCGTCCAGCCTATTTACAAGATTATGAGGTGGATTTCCCACGTTTTCATAGATCAGCTTTACCAGTGAGTATAAGAGAAGCAGCAGTGGAGTCGTCTGATGATGATGATTACTCTCCATCACGTATTTGAGTATCTACAGCGAAACCTCAAAGAGCCCAGTTTACCGGCTTTTCTGGCCCTCCGAGGCTGACTGAGCATCATGACCTCCCAAACCCTCTACAGCAGCGAATTTCTACCTCTTCTCGCCAGTCATTACCACAATATCTGAATCGACAGCTACAGTTTGAATCCAATGCAGAGTCCCTTCCACATGGTGATGGATACCAGAGTGATCAGTCAACTGCTAGCTCTATAAAGTTGCAAAGGATCTCAGAGGAGAATGCTAGACTCCATGAAACACAGCAGGCCATTAAAGCTGACCTTGAACGATTTGAGACGGCCAAAGATGAGTTGATTGAGCTTTTAAACAGAGCTTGTAGTCTCCAAAGGCCCTTATCTACTCCTAAGACCCAGTCTAATCGTCCATCAGTTAAATTTCACCATGCCGAGCATTTGAGTGATGAAGACTGGCCAGAGCCTCCTCCACCAATCACGTATGAAGAGCCCGAAGCTATGAATAAGCACAACAAGCAAAGGCTTTACAGCAGTACAAGGGCAATACCAACTTTCAGTTCCCGACTCACTTCAATGGAGAAGTCTATGGATTTTCACCATCCAAGTCAGTATGATGAGCATCTGAGGTATGGTCAATACCCTCCCCAAACGACAAGTCCTCAGTATGTTTATGACCACCCATGGGAATCATTCACACGTCCAAATTCTGAACATCACAGAATGGCATCCTATAATATGGCACCTTCCATGGCATCTATGGAGCTGACTGAGAAATATTACAAAGGACCATGCCCCACCATTCCATTCTTCCGCAACAAAGATCCAAGTGAGTTTGCTCGATTAAAAATGGCCTTAGACAACCTCTTGCCACCTGACAGTACTGAAATGTTCAAATATCAAGTCCTGGTTGACCATCTGAAATTGGACGATGCATGTCTAATAGCAGACTCCTTCTTGCACTCCCCTACACCTTACAGAGACACCATGATGGCCCTCAATGAACGGTTCGGTCAGCCCCACCAGGTAGCATTAAAAAGGATTGCTACTATTCTTGATTCTCCTGATATAAGCCGCAATGACCCCTCAGCCTTTGAAAAGTTCTCCCTTCAAGTGCAGTCTTTAGTTGGTCTTCTAAAGACATTGGGCCAGGCGGGTAGCATTGAGTTGCAGTGTGGGTCGCATGTTGCACGCCTCCTCAGTAAGCTGCCACCTGAAAGACGGGCTGATTTTCGCCGCCACATGTTACACCGGCCTGGGGTGACATACTCATTGATGGATCTGGCCGACTGGCTAAAATATGAATCTTGGTGCCAAAGCTATGATGATCAGTCAGCAAGAGGAGAAAGCCGACCCAAACGAGAGTCTCGGGTAGCTCCATGGTCACGCCGAACCACTGCCACTGTTCTGACTGGGTCTGGGAACAGTGCTGAGGTAGCAAATGCTACATATTCTTCTGATAAGGCTGATGAGAAAGCTAAGAGTAGGCCCTCAGTATATTGTTCTTACTGTCAGAGCTCTGATCATGCATTCAGTCAATGCCCCAAAATTCCAAACCTCACCAGAGATCAGCTCTCAGAGTGGATACGTGCCAATAGGAGATGCTGGCGTTGTGGCCTTGCTCATCAGGCTATCCACTGTGGTCTAAAGAAACCATGTCCGCTTTGTCAGAGAAAGCATCTGCGAATCCTCCATGAGGTAAACGAGAGGCCTGTCATAAAGGTATCCAAAACAGAGGCTTGCCTAGTCAGCTCAGCGACACAAATGTTGTACCTGAACAAACCAGTCAGCAGTAATAAGGTTTTACTCAAAATTGTCAGAGTGTTCTTACACCATGGCAACTGCACACTGGACACATTCGCAATCCTTGATGATGGTTCTGAGCGTACGATGCTCCTGCCAGAGGCAGCACAGAAGCTTGGCTTAAGAGGGACACAAGAAAGCTTAGCTCTGAGAACCATCCGTCATGATGTGCAAACCCTTGATGGAGCTTCAGTCTCATTCTCCATTTCTCCATACTCCAATCCGAAGAAGCGATATCTCATATCCAGAGCCTTTACTGCCCCACAGCTTGACCTCGTTGATCATTCTTACCCCATTCCAAAGCTGCAGAAGCAATACAAACACTTGGTTGGACTACCACTGCAGTGTTTTGAAAAGGCGAAACCTCTTGTCCTTGTTGGTGCAGATCAAACACACATAATCTCACCAATTGAGCCAGTAAGACTTGGTCCACCTGGGGGTCCAGCTGCAATAAGAACCAAATTAGGATGGACACTCCAGGGCCCTACCAGCCTGTTGGAGCAGAAACTTGAGCCAAAACAGTGTCTCCACATATCCATTCCTCTCAGCACTACAGAACTGTTCAAGAATGTTGAAAAGCTGTGGCAAGTTGATGTTTTGCCATTTCAGAAGGAAAGAGAGTACACAAGATCCAAGCAGGACCAAAGGGCCATTGAGTTACTGGAAAGCAAGACAGTTCGTGTAGAGGTGGATGGAATACGTCGCTATGCAACACCCTTGTTGCGTAAGTGTGACATGCCATATCTTCATGCTACTATGGAAGCTGTCATGCCACGTCTACGAAGTACTGAGAGGAAACTTGCCAAAAACCCGCCACAAGCTGAAGCTTATTCCTTAGAGATCCAGAAATTGGTTCAGTCCGGAGCCATCAGAAAGCTCCTTCCAGAAGAAATGGAAAGTGATGGTGAATCCTGGTTCATCCCACACCATATGGTGTGCCACAATGGGAAAAATCGTGTGGTGTTTGATTGCTCCTTTCAGTTCAGTGGCCTCAGTTTAAATGATTCACTCCTCGCTGGCCCCACCTTGGGTTCATCACTTCTTGGGGTCTTGCTCAGATTCCGTGAACATGCAGTGGCCATCAGTGCAGACATCCGGGGCATGTTTCATCAGGTCCGCCTTCTTCCAGAAGATAGACCACTTCTTCGGTTTGTCTGGCGTGACTCAAAGGAAAAAGGTCCACCTGATGTCTTTGAATGGCAGGTTCTGCCATTTGGCACAACATGCAGCCCCTGTTGTGCTACGTTCGCTTTACAACAGCACGTGAGAGAACATAGCCAACCTAACGAAGATGTGAGGTTCTCAATCGAACGGTGCTTTTACGTTGACAATTGCTTGCAGAGTTTGTCATCACCAGAGGAGGCTAAGCAATTAGTTGACAAGTTGAGGGATCTGTTAGCTGAAGGAGGCTTCGAGTTGAGACAATGGGCCAGCAATGTGCCATCTGTCATTCACCATCTTCCACGTGAAGCCAGATCGGATGGTCTGGAACTCTGGCTAGCTCATGAAAGGACAGATGTCCAGGAGTCCACGTTGGGTCTTAGCTGGAATTGCCCTGTAGATGTACTGACTTACCGTCACCGTCCCATAAACCATGGCGCTCCCACAATGAGGATTATTTATAAAGTTTTAGCAAGTCAGTACGACCCCTTGGGATATATCCTTCCATTTACTACCAGGGCTAAAGTTCTGGTCCAACAACTTTGGAGCAAGCAGCACAGCTGGGATGACACCCAACTTCCCCAGACTTTAGTCCAGAGCTGGAACGAATGGGAAGGTGAACTTCAGTTTCTTCACAAGATCAGTTTCCCAAGGGCATATGTACCAACTTCAGTAGATCAGACCAGATCTGTTACAGACCTTCATGTGTTTAGTGATGCCTCAGAGAGTTCATATGGAGCAGTCACTTACCTGCGCACCGAAGATCAGCTTGGTAAGATCCATTTGTCATTCATACTGGCACGTTCTAGGGTAGCGCCAAAAAGAGTCCTGTCAATGCCTCGTTTGGAGCTCTGTGCTGCTGTAATCGGTGCTCAGTTGGCAAACCTGTTGGAGAAAGAGTTAACTTTGCCACTTCGCCACACAGTCCTTTGGACAGACTCCACCACTGTGCTGTCCTGGATTCAATCAGAGTCCTGCCATTTTAAAGTCTTCGTTGGGACAAGAGTGGCAGAAATCCACGAGCTCACCAACTTCACTGCCTGGCGATATGTGAATTCAAGTCAGAATCCTGCAGATGACCTCACAAGGGGAAAGACTCTGAAAGAACTTGCCAAGCCTAACAGATGGAGCCAAGGGCCCCCATTCCTGCTCCTTCCACCTGAAAGCTGGCCCACAAACCCTACAGAGCGCCCTGAGATTGACAAATCTGAGCTTAAGAAATCTGCATTCTGTGGAGTCGTAGCTGTAGAGGAACCAACTGGAAATAAGTACAGGACATGGGCAGAATTAGTAAAGGCTACTGCACAGGAGCTACATGGGGCGGCTGGACAGTCAGGAGAACCTACAGCAAGCATGTATCAAGCAGCAGAGACATGCATCCTCCAGAAGGTGCAAAATGAGAGTTTTCCGGAGGAATTACAACGACTGAAAGCAGGCAAGGCTCTTCAACATAATAGCCGCTTACTCACCCTAGCTGCAGAGTATGACCCGTTTACCAATCTAATACGGGTTGGTGGTAGGCTAAGACGTGCTGAAACATTAGATCCTGCCCTTAAACATCCCATTGTCTTAGAATCTAGACATCCAGCTGTGAAGTTACTCCTCCAGGATTATGATGAAAGACTCTGTCATCCAGGCCCTGATCGGGTATTTGCAGAAATAAGACGACAATTCTGGGTCCTAAGAGGAAGAGCAGCTATCCGCAGCTTACAACATGCCTGTATAAAATGCCAACGTCTGAGAGCCAAACCTACAATTCCCAAAATGGCAGACCTTCCTTTAGCACGCTTGCGTCTCCACAAGCCAGCCTTTCATTCAACTGGGATGGATTGCTTTGGTCCCTTTCTTGTAAAGATTGGTCGACGAGTAGAAAAGAGGTGGGGAATCCTCTACAAATGTCTTACCACCCGGGCTGTACACATAGACCTTCTGTACAGTTTGGACACTGATTCCTTTCTGATGTCACTTCGGAGGTTTATTGCACGTAGAGGCTCCCCAGTAGAATTACTGTCAGACCAAGGAACAAATTTCCGAGGTGGGGAAAGGGAACTCTGGGAAGCATTTCAGAGTATGTCACCTGAGCTTCAGCAAAGACTTGCACCATTGAAGATTGCATTCCATTTCAATCCTCCTGCAGCACCACACTTTGGGGGAGTTTGGGAGAGGGAGATAAAATCCATTAAATTGGCACTATCTGCGACCATTGGAGCACAAACTGTCTCAGAAGAAGTACTCAGGACTGTGTTAGTTGAAGTGGAGAACATCCTTAATTCAAAACCCCTTGGGTATGTATCTTCTAATGTGGCTGATCCTGATCCGGTAACGCCCAACCTTCTTCTCATGGGGCGGCTAGATAACTCCCTGCCTGCGGTCATATACCCTAAAGAAGAAGGCTTAAGTCGTCGTCGGTGGAGGCACTCCCAGGTGCTTGCTGACCACTTCTGGTCCTCCTTTATCCGCCATTACCTTCCGAACCTGCAGGTCAGACAGAAATGGCACCGCACCTACCCTAATATAACCATGGGCACGATAGTCATGATAGTGGATCCTCAACAGTCCAGAGCACATTGGCCTATTGGAAGAGTTGTTCAAGTGCACCCCAGCCAAGACTCGCAAGTGAGATCAGTGGACATACAAGTTCAAGGGAAGGTTTATACTAGACCCGTGGCTCGACTGGTGGCATTACCCCCCATCCCAGAAGATATGGAAGAGCCCGACACACCCCCTGCAGCATTGGTAACTAACACGCAACCATCTTGAATGTCAAATTGAACACAATTTGGGGGCGGCTGTACAAACTGGTTTGCGTGTGTTGCCCTTTTAAGACGTTGCCCCTTTAAGACATTGCCGCTTTAAGACTCGTTGCCCGTTTAATTGATGACGCAAAGTGTTCCTGTGAAGAAGAAATGCGAGCTGATCCAAGTTGGAGTGTTATATGTGTGCGTGCATCCTATAAAGTGAGTTAATTCTTGTCATTATACACTTAGGAGAAAGTTCATATTGTAATCTTGTGTATAAGTTTTGTTTGTTGAAGCTATTGAAACTAAATTCGAGTGTTCTATGGTGCCTCTCTAACGATCGTTACATGCATGATCATATTCATATCTGCCGTCGAATTATGCGATCGTTGATCATCATACTGCTGTCATATTTTATGTTGAAATAGATTGTTTTCTTTATTTAATATGTTGGTAGTAAATTGCAAGTATAGGGTTGAGTTGATGGCGATTATAGTTAAATGGCCTATTCTGATGCTAATATTGCTAATCGTGGCACTATTGTATTTAACTCTTATTGCAAGTTATATTCCGCACAGATTGTATCATTGTTTATTGTATTGGATTGTTAGATAATTGGATCTGAAGTCTGTATTTACTTATTGTTATTTCTCTTTGTACAGACCACACACAAACATACTCCAGTAAAGATATGGAAAGAAATAACAGTGGTTGACTGAGTTCCTGGGTTCTGATAGGCCCATCCAGGGCGAGTGTTGCTTATCCTTCAGTCCTTAAGAGATAAAGTCAAATTACCAATTCCAAATCCAACACATGACCTCGAGACTAGATTACTGTAATGCTTTATTAGCTGGTTGTCCTGCATCCTCAATAAACAAGATACAGTTAGTACAAAATGCAGCCGCTAGAGTTCTTACTAGGTCAAGAAAATATGATCATTTAACACCGATTTTATCATCACTTCATTGGTTACCTATTAAGTTCCGTATCAACTACAAAATATTACTACTGACCTATAAAGCCCTAAACGGTCTAGCTCCTGTACTTAAAGAGTAACTAAACACTTAACCAACTTTTTTTTAGTTAATGATCTGTAAGAATGGATCTTTATTAATACCAGTCATTGATTCGAGTAACTTTTTTGACATTTGTTTATAAAGTGTTCTATTTCTACAATATATGGTGTAAAAACGTCTTAGTGCTGCCCTCTTCAGGTTGAACGGTGGCTACTGCAGTTGAATTTTCCTATTGTATGTTTGCGGTAGTACGTGACACAGCAGTTGTTGGTGATGTAGGCAAGTTCCATACAAAGAGATGCGTCTCAGGTGCACGGCCCCCTCCGCTGGGCTCCGCCCACTTATCCAGCATTTTTCAAATATTGCCAGTGGGTGGAGTCAGGCTCTGACCAGGGGTTTAGTTACCCTTTAACAGACCTTCTTTCGTCCTACAGTCCACCGCGTTCCTTAAGATCACTAAATTCAAGGCTTCTGGTCATTCCTAGGATATCTAAGTCCACCAAAGGAGGGAGGGCATTTTCACATTTAGCCCCGAAGCTCTGGAATAGCCTTCCTGATATTGTTGGTTGCTCAGACTCGCTATCCCAGTTTAAAACTAGACTAAAGACGCATTTATTTAGCCTACCATTCATATAAATTTCTTATCTCACAGTTACTGTGAATTTGGCCTCTAGTTCATAAACGCCAGAGGAGAACTGGCCCCCGACTGAGCCTGGGTTCTCCCAAGGTTTGTTTTTCTCCATCGGGTCACTTGATCGAGTTTTTCGGTTCTTTGCCACTGTTGCCTTTGGCTTGCTCAGTTGTGGATATTCAAATTAAATGACCCATCACACCATTGATCAGCTCTACCAAACTTGGATGTCTACAGTATTTTGTCCAGTAATAAACAAACACTGTTAAGTTGTCTTGTTTGATACTGTGAAGCAGCTTTGATGCAATCTGTATTGTGAAAAGCGCTATAGAAATATATTTGACTTGACTAAAATTGTTAGCTGTGGAAGAGGAGAGATTGGCAATTGCACTGAACATGTTTTATGTGCAGGATTCTCAGAGCGAGCCCAGAGAAAAAAGACCTATTCTTACAAGAGCAGCGTGTGTCTGCGAGCGCATTATATTAATGTACTTTGGCGCTACAGTAGTGCGCTCTCGACATTTGACGGGAAAATAACGCCATAGTTCTGCAGCATCCATCTTCCCTGTAACGAAACACCAGAGCACTTTACACTCGTCTCACAGTCTCTGCTTAAAACTTTGAACTGTTGATCTTGGAGAAAGGCTTTTACGGCCTCGTCTGCACAACAGTCCATACTAACTTTCAGAATGACACACACGACCTCATGAAATCAAATTTGACACATCTTCTTTTTATATGTAATGTTGTAGTGTTTATTATAAATGATTTATCTGTGCACTTGAACAGTTGTAATCTTTAATCAAATACATTACCCTTCCCTCCCCCCTCGAATCGACCTGTCTTCTCTTTCGGTCACGTGACACGAAAGGGTGTGGCCAGATCTGATGAGGGTGTGGCTATCGGTGCAACGCCTCTCAGAGAATCGCATTCAAATCTGCCTCCATTTTGTTTGCAACGCCCAACCTCCAACGATCCAATCAACTCCCGGAGGATGAAATCAAGCCCCGCCCTACATTTTATTCTAATTTCAGAAGCCGGTTCACAACAAGGAAAAAAAATGACAATCTCAACTTCTGTTTCATGCCGACTTTAAAGCTCGTCTGAAGTGCTTTAGACAGCTCAGCCTGTGTCAGGGAAAGGGAGAATGACTGGCGTTTGGTGTTTGTAGTGTTAATAAAGGAGTCTGGATCTGATCTATATCTCAGAGCTGGAGAGATTAAAGTAGAACATTATAATCCATGTGTAGAAACTCTTCCTGAAGACATTTAATATCTGCTTTACAGACACTCGTGAAGTGTGTGCAAATACTTTCTGTTTCACCAACCTGAGCTGATGTTAATCTTCAAACTGCAACACACACACACACACACACAGAGCAACACTTCACTGTCATGGACTGATACTGTCACTATAGCAACAGACGTAAACTCATCAGATAAGATGAAGTTAATAACCACAGGAGGAGCTGATGATGATTAAAGGAGGAGCTGTAACTATATATAATGAAGAGGAAGAGCTGTCACTATATCTAATGAAGAGGAAGACGGACAGAAGCAGAAATGTCTGATCAGTGTGATCTGTGTCTGCTGGGACTGATCATTCTCTCTTCACTTCTCACAGGTAAAGAAATCTGTATTTTCTCTAAACACATTTAGTGGAATTAGTCTGGAAAGAGTTCATTTGAACATGCTCAGTTTAAAGGACCCAAGGTCTCAGACCAAGGAGCAGGACCGGAGCACAGAACGTTTTAATATATTTATTAGTATAAAATGACCGACGTTTCGATGCACATGCGTCTTCATCAGAGTCAAACAGTCAATGGCAACAATATACAGAATTTAAAGAGTCATAATTCAAGGTATTGGCCGCAGGCTTAAGTGGGTGTAGTGCAACAATTATCCAATCTTATACAAGCATTCAAGTCTTAAAAAAAAACCATAAACACATAAACTTATCCATATATAGAAAATATATAGATATAACTAAACATATACAGTGAACCTAATTTAATTCAAAGTGTGTGAATTATAGAAACCGGAATTATAAAAAGCATGAAAGGCCCAGTTCCTCATTAAGGCCATTTGGTTCTAGTGTGTTAAGAGGAGTGTCTCGCAATTGCATAGTCCATATTTCTGTTCCGAATGGCTGCTTTATGTTCTGGAATGCGTAGTTTGAGGGGCCGTTTAGTCTGACCTACGTATACTAATCCACTTGGACATTTCAATTCAACATATAAATCACGTGAGTGGTGTTACAATTAAGGAAAGAATTGATCTTGTATTTTTTACCTGAATGGGGATGGGAAAATTGCTTTGTATCATTTGAGTTTGAGCAGCGGGTGCAGTTCCCACATCTGTAAAAACCAAAGGGAGGAGCCGGCAACCACGTAGGTTTTGGTGGAGGGCTCATGTTCGTGTGAACCAAACTATCTCTCAGTGAGTCTTTGCACTGAATCACGTTTGGTTTTAACTAGGAGATGTAGAAATGACAGAGCGCTTCCGCAACAGGGGATATGCTGCGAGTGATATCTCTGCTGTCTATGAACAAGCCAGACTGACCCAACCTAGTTAAAACCACCAAAAGACTCTGTTTCTCCACAGAGTTCTCCCAGTTTGGTGGAGAAATCAAACATGCCATTAAGAAACATTGGCACGTTTTGGTCTTAAAGCTACAGGCGCAGAATCGCCACGAGTAACTTTTGCATGCAATCCTGCAAGACAGATATGATGATCACAAGACAATCACAAGTGAAGTTCCTCATCTCAGTGTTATCATCATCTCGTCTCTGCATTAACTGCTATATTACGCTCATCCAATTCAGGTCCACATTTTTTAATTTCTAACATTCCCTGTTGTTCACTAAACTAAATTAGTCACTTGCAGAGGCAGTTTGTATATCAAACATGTGAACATATATCTTTAGCCCCATAACATGGGCAGCAATAGTCCGCATCGGTCCAATCACTTGACTGTAGTAGATGTCTCCCGATTTCTGATCTTAGAAGTATTTTGAGTCTCCATTAAATGTTATAATCTGTGTCGCCGGATAAATCAAACCGTGTGTTATTCCTGATGTAATTTCATTCTCAGATCTTTAAACTGTGCTCTTCTCTTGGACACTTCTGCTGTTAAATCTGGAAAGATTTTGACATTCATCCCTTTAAAATGTAGGACTTTTCTTGCTTTTCTATTTGTAGAATAGCCTCTTTCACCGCATGTCTCTGCATCCTGATGATCATCGGTCTCGATCCATGTTTTGTAACAGACCCCACTCTGTGTGCAATTACCACTTCAGGTTTATAAAGCAGTTTATCTTTAAATACCTCATTAAAGAGGGATCACATGAATTCGGTTCGTTTCATCCATTCTGTCGTGCTTTCTGGACAAGCTCGAGTCCTGGAACTGCTGTTGTAGTTTATTCACTGCCTCGTTTATTTCTTCCTTTTTTTAGCCGTAGAAGTTATTCTGTAGGACAGACAGGACTGTAAAAACACTGGTCAACGAGTAACTGTGACATCCAACAATCTGACAACAAGACAGAGAAAGAGAGGCTTAGAAGAAGACAAGATAATGAGAGGAGATGAGGAACAGGTGGAGAGGAATGAGCAGAATGAAAAGAGAAAACAGCTGATGTGTGTGTGTGTGTGTGTGTGTGTGTGTGTGTGTGTGTCCAGCAGAGGGAGACAGAGAAGGAGACAGGATCATTGTTACCATTAAACACTGAGAGAGTGAATAAGACCGCTGAGAAACAGCAGGAGAACAGGGGAACAAATGTATTATGTGCAATGATGAGAAAGAAGAAAAATGAAGCGATCTGGGGAGGAAAAAGGGAAAACTGGACAGAGCCAACACAAAGAAAAGAATAAAACAGAAAGGATCTTTCTCACCCGTTTCAACTAAACCTTCCGAATACAGAAGAAAAATGTAGAAAGAAAAGTCTTCCCTATACTTCCCTACTCTATCTATCAAAAGAACAATGACAGCGAACGGCACATGCCCCTAAACCTAGTGTGTGTAAACTAAATAAATCAGAACTAAGTGTGTCCGACGTACGTCACGTGACATCACTTCCCTTTTATATATGTAGAAATAAAGGCCAGCGCATCAGCCGTTGATTAGCATTATACATACGGGAAAGTAAAAGGAGGGAGTTGT